TCTTAAAAAATTGTTTTTGTTGTTGTTGTTTTGAGACAGAGTTTCTCTGTGTTGCCCTGGCTATCCCAGAACTTATTCTTTAAACCAGGCTGACCTCAAACTCACAGAGATCCACCTGCCTCTGCCCCCTGAGTGCTGGGATTAAAGGTGTACGTCACCACTGCCCGGCTTAAACTTTTATATATGAAAAACAATCAGTCTTTTCTACTTTAAATCCTTAGGGTGCATACCCACTCATCAACAGTTTTTGTTGGTTTCTTTGTTTGTTTTTCCTTTTTTAAAATCATATCAGGAAGCTGAGGGACGAAATGGGTACAAGGAATTAATCATCACCCTTGATCATCAACCCATCCTAGCAAGAAATGTAAGTCAGGCAACAACAGCCAGGCTGTCATTGTCCCTTGGTCAGCTATTAAAAGTGTGTCTCTCTAAACCTTAAATTATTCCCCAAGATTTTCTACCTCAAAGTCATTAATAAAAAACATCTTAACTTATTAAGCTTAACTTATTAAGCCTGGTGGGCTAAACTCCTGAACTTTAATTACCACCTGCTGCTCCTGTGACATGGCCACCAGCACCACTTAACTTGCTTCTGCAAGGTCTTTTTTGTCGTGGGGATTAGAAAAACAACACACCTGGTTTGTGGGATTCGGCTCTCTCTCCTTGTACACAGCAGAGGACAGCAGAGAGCAAACCAAAGTCAAGACCAGGAAATGCTCCTTGAGGAAGTGCCGCTGAATCCAGACCTGAAGGAAGAATAGGCAGGACGGTAAGCCGGGAGTGAATTCTGGGACACAGAGACCACGGAGAACTTTTGGGTGGGCTGGAGTCTTTGGATATAGGGAAGTGACCTTGGATCTCTTCGTGGACTAAGCCCCTAGCACTTGAGCCTCAGGAGTCAGTCTGCTCTCAGTGAATAAGTCAGGGATGGAGCCAGGATGGAAGGTGCTCCTGTGAGTCAGTGATGTGTGTGGACAGCCTGCACAAGCCCCAAAGCAGCTTGTACCCAGTGACTTTGTGCTTCAAGGAAGACAGAGTGGCCATTCATACCCTGAGACTCCCTGCCCCGGTCACGCAATCCTACCCCCCACCCCCACCCCAGACACTGTGACTTCTCAACACAGTTGCTTCCACTTAATAGCCCAACCCTATCAGAGGGCTGGTATGGGAATGGTACCCATGGGCACAGCCAAGGGCTGTGATCTTTACAAACTAGGAAGAGGCTGGGACTGGGGGGTTTCCTTCTCGATTGCCCTTAACCATCTGAAGAATGAATAGCAGAAGTCTAAAAACCATAGGTTTTGAGGACAGACAGCCTGAATTCAACCATCACTATAATTAGCTGTATTACATGCAAGCCATGAGTTTCACTAGCTAAAGGAAAATATTGACACTCTATGTGTGGTAAAACATCTGTCCCTTGGCATTCTGCAGTGCCTCGGGGCAGCAAGGAACAATTAAAAAAAAAAAAGTGTCACCAATGCTTATCAAAGTGACATCGGTAGAAGGGCTGGGAATGTGGCTCAGTTGGTAGAGTGCATAAATCTGAGGAGCATGGGAGAACACATGGGCAGATTTGCAGAGAAAGAGCCAGAAGCAGAAGTGGGGCACTTAAAGTCGTCACTGCCACCGTCTGCCCACTCAGTGGGCCTCTGGGTCTGAAAGGGCGGCAGCTTCAGGGTGGAAATGAAGCCAGATCATCAGAGGAGGAGTAAAACATTAGCTCTCCCCACCAAGGCCTCATCTTGTTCATGAGGCCCTGGGAAGAAGGGCTGTGGAGTTCAACCTATAAATTCCACAACAGTCTGGACCTTCTCAATGTCTGCCACCCTGGCCAAACTCAGGGAAACTTTTGGATCCAGGGAATTCTGTAAAGACGCATCACATCTCTCCCCGGAGCTGGTGAGACCTGGGCTGAGAGCTGGGCAGGACCCAGACCAGGAGAGAGTCAGCTCTGTGTCAGGACCGACGTGCAGGAGGAGCTCCTTTGCCTTGCCTGCTCTGCTTTGCTAGCTAACCCCAATACCCAGGCAGGGGACAGAGTAGTGCCACAGGAGCAGTGTGACCATGGAGCCAGAATGGAACTGACAGCTTCCATATCTGTGGAGGGGAAGAAGGAAGTGGGTAAGGAGGGAGGAAAAGGAACGAGACTAAGGGGAAGGAAAGGAAGGGAAGTGGGAAGGGAATTCAGAAGGGAAAGGAAGGGAAACATCTGAACCCTATGTTGTGACAAGGGCCGTGAGTGCAAGGAGAAGGAAGCAAATCGAAACATCTTCAGGCAGAACTTAACATAGATGTCCTGTTCCACCTTTGAAGAGAACTAAGGTGTGTTCACTCGGGAATATTCTAGACTTAGCCCCATATACTGTAGAAGCAGCGCTCCTCGGGTGGACTGTCCTGATCCCAAAGCTTCCTGCCTCTCTCATCCACAGCTGTGAGGGTTCAGATGAAGTACCTTGTGCTTTCTCTAGCCGGTGCCCAGATGGACTCAGTAAACAAACTGTTTTATTTCAGATTAACACAGCTATGACTAACTTTACAATAAAAGTGACTTTTCTTGTTAGAAAGTAGGAGCTGTCACTTTCTATATGATTTGTCTTTGTTTTGTTTTGTTTTGTTTTTTGTTTTGTTTTATTAAAAGCAGAGAGAAGAGGCTTTCGAAGAAAACCCTGCATGGGGTGGTGACACAGACCAACCATTGAAGCTGCTTGGGAGTGTGAGGCAAGGCAGTCACAGGGTCAAAGCCTGTCTGGGTGACAGAATGAGTGAGCTCAAGGTCAACTTGAACTACTTAGTGGACTCAAAATAAAAGGTAAAAAGAGGTCTGGAGATACAACTGGGAGACAGTGCTTGCCTAGCATACCTCAGTACTGCCAAACAAAGAAGAAGAAAACACTCCTCTTAGGGCTGGAGAGATTGATGGGGGATGTCTTTCCATATGCTGTGAATATATGTTTCTCTTGCTGGTTGATGAATAAAGCTGTTTCAGCCAATGGACAGGCAGGATTTAGCCAGACAGGAGATCTAAACAGGGATAGAGAAAGGTAGTAGGCAGAGTCAGAAAGACACCATGTAGCTGCCAAGGAAGCAAGAGACCCAGGCATCACTGGTATACCAAGACCACATGGAGACACACAGATTAATAGAAATGGGTTAATAATTAAGAGAGAGCTAGCCAATAAAAAGCCTGAGTCATCAGCCAAATTAATATAAGCTTCTGTGTGCTTATTTGGGACTAAATGGCTGCAGGACCAGGTGGAATAGAAACTTTCATCTACAAGAGATGGCTCCAGGGTTAAGAGTACTGGCTGATCTTTCAGAGGTCCTGAGTTCAATTCCCAACATCTACTTGGTGGCTCACAACCACCTGTAACTCCAGTTCCAAGGGATCTGATACCTTCTTCTGGACTGTGTAGGTACTGCATATACATGGTACACAGGCATACATGCCAGCAGAACACATACACACAAATCAGCTAGTCTTTAATAAAAAAATGTAAAAAAAGAATCCTCTTTACCCAAAAGTAATAGTCATTACTATAGTGGTAAGTGTCTAGGTATCCCTTCCTACGGTGTCTACAAAGACAGAGCTTTATCTAATTTTTGTTTTGTTTTCATAGAAACAGAGACTTGAGTAGGCTCAGTGTAGAGCCGAGAAAAGCAATGATCTTCACAATAAGAGCCCTGGAGACTCAGAAGCCAATCAGATTGTTTTGTGAACTTGCCAAGTCGGTGTCAGCCCAGAGAAAAGGCAAAAATGGTTGATGTACCAAATTTGACACAAAACTGGTTTTTATGCTGCTAATGGTATTTCTTTGTCCCCTTTAGTTCTTATTGGCTGAATTCTTCAGGAAATGACAGTCAATCTATTGTCTAGTATCTCCTCCTTCCTCACCTTAATGGTTCAGGGCACAATGCCCTTCTTTTCTGGTATGTGGGGTCAGTCATGTGGGCAGACTACTTGTAACTTTCCAACCCCAGAACACACTAAGTGTGCCGAGAAAAGCTGCCAGGCAAAGGAGACAGGGGCCTGGTGCCCCCCCCCCTTATCTCTGATGAACCCTACCTAAGCACACCTCACTGGAAACAGGCCATAATGATTGATTTCTTACAGAACAAAGGTTGAGCCCCAAAAGCCCCTTGTTGCACTGGGCCCAAACAGAGCATACTCAAAAAAAAAAATCAAAGTAAATCCACCCATGTTAAATTTTGGTCTGCAGAAAGAGTCTATGCTGCTTGTTGACCTTCTGGGAAATCAAGAGAAACCTGAGCTATTAATGGCTTGCTTTCCCAAAGGCTAGGCTTTATTCTCCAATAATTCCATACAATGTATCTTGGTGGTATCCACCCCCCAACTCTCCGGTTCTACTCCCTGCCCCCCCCCAAGCAAAAGGCAGAAACACAAAAGGACCCCTGATGTTGTCTTATGCCTACCCCACTCCACCTACAGGGAGCTAGAAAGAGCTACTGGCTTTCCTTTCCGTGCTCCGCGGTTTTCAGTCATGCTGTTTGCAAAAGCAGCCTCCGCTTGCTAGTTAGAACATTTTGTATGGTGGAATGAAGTCTCTGTCCCCTAGTCTAAGACAGAAAACAAAGCTTTTAGCGACGTCCTTTCTGGTTAGTGACTGAACAGCCTGCATTGTATCTTGTGTCCCAATTTGGAAAAACAGGCTCCTCAAAGTCCCTACAACGAAGCGGACGGGCAATAACACGCCAGCCTGGAATTCCTGCAGAACTCGGGAAGAAAAGCAGAACGTGCTGGGTGCCTTCCCTTGCTCCGCCTTCAGAACAGGAGACGTTCTGAACCCTGTTCTGGGTGCTGATTACTTAGTCCTCATTAAAACCCCAGAACTAAATTTCTTGCCTGATTTACAGAAAATGTTATTAATACCCCCGTCCCCACCCACGGCGGGGACCGCAGGCAGGCGACACTGGGCGGCCCTAGGTGAATCCCCACCCGAGGCACCGCCCGAGGCTCCACCTCCTTGGGCGGTCGCCTTTGTCACCTGCGGCCCCTGGGCCTGGCGGCGGGCTGCGGGCCGCGGCGACGGGCCGCCCGGAACCCCGGGACCGAGATGTGGCGGGTCGGCCGGTGGGCGCCCCTGTTCCTGTGCCTGCTGCAGAGCGTCCCAGGTGAGCGGGGGCCTCGGGAGAGGCGTGGGTGGGCCACCCACCCGAGGTCCGGAGACCGGATGTGGGTGCTGGGCCACCCGGGCACCTCAGGGACCCTATGCTCCCGCCCCGGGTTTGATTGGTCCAGAATGAAGCAATCCTGAGCTTGGACGTCCTTTCCGGCAAGAAAGGAGTTTGGGTTTCCAGAGACATCTGAAAGCGTTTACGGTATTTGTTCACTGAATCCCAGAGCGCATACCTGATTGACTCTTTTAAAAAGGGAACTTATGGGAGCTACCGTCCTCTTCCTCCGGCTGCGGATCAGATGTCCCACACAGGCTCCCGGGGACCCTGCCCTGGGTGATCTGGTCCCTGCTATGAGACTCTTAATAGGGCGTTTTCTCTCTTGGTCTCTCAGCTCGTAAATAAGATGGCACTGCAGAAAATACCTGAGGCCAGGACCCAACCACAGAACCACAACTTTCCACTGATCACTGCCCCAGGGAGGAGAGCCCCTCTTGGAAGCTATGGGTGTATCTCAGAGTCTTAGACTCAAAATAGAACGGGCTGGAAGGGTTCTTAGACTAAGTAAAACAATTACCAAAGTCCGGATGACTTTTAGTTGCTGCTTTGTGCTGGGCTCTGTGTTCTTACTAAAGTGCAGCCCAATTGTCCTATGAAGCACATAGTCAGCCATCTTTGTCAGGTGCGGGAAACTGAGTCTCAGAGCACTTAAGAGGTTGTCTTAAAGTCCCCCAGAGAGGGACACGCTGGACAGAGTGAAGCTGAAGAGAGAAAAGCTAGCCTGAGCCTTGGGTTCACCCAGGCTATCCATGCCCTGAGCACCCTCACAGTCCTGCCGCGGTGTTTTTTAATTAATTAGGGTCTTGGGGGTCGGGTATGTCCTATCCCCAACACAAACTTTGACTCTGGGCCCAGTGCCTCTTCCACGAAGGGTGTGAGTCATGCTTACCGTGGGCGGTGGTCTGAAGCTGTGACTTTTTCTGTGTGGCTGAGCTCAAACTTTGGGGCTGTCCTGCTCACGAATGGCTTAAAACTAAGGGGATTATGCAGACTGGCCTTCTGCTGGGTGCCTGCCTGGCAGACTAGGTGCCAGGTTTAACAACTGTGACAGTGTCTCAGTAATGCCGCTTCAGGTTTCAGGGTGTTGGATAGAATTAGAACTAGGAACTCACATCTGGGCCCGAAATACCTGAGGTGAGGAGGAAGCGGTGTGAGACTTGGGGTTGAGCTGAGAGACATGTGAAGAGCTGGGATTACCTTGCCTGGTGCCTGAAATGTGTTGGTCTCCATGGTGACCCATGTGATTGAATTCTCCCTGGGACCATGAGCTCCCCTGGGGTAGGAGACGGAGCTGCTTCTTCTGTTCCCTGGCACACTGAGGAATGTAGGAAACGTGGGTTACAGTAGTCAACAGGTGTGGTTGCTCATGCCGGTAACCGGTAATTGGTAATCCTAGCACCCTAGGTGCTGAGCCAAGAGGATTGCCACAGATTTGAGCTAGCCTAGGCTACAGAGTGAGAGGCGGGTGCACACGAGAACAGGAGTTATGCAGGCGCACGCGCGCACGCACACACGCACCCACACACTAAACGTAAACTGAGCCCAGGATATACTGGAAGAGGCAATAAGCCCAGAGCACAGACCTGAGAGTTGCCTTGATCTAGATTGGAGTATCTGGCAGGGCCTTGGTCCCCCACCTGTGTGCAGAGCTCCCAAATCCCCCTCAATGTGTTCAGCACAGCTAACTGGAAGCTACAACCCAATACAAAAGGGGCTATTGTTACTCTGTTGTCATCACGGTCTCCTCTTAGAGGTGTCAAGGTGGGCTACCTGGAGGAAGAGATATTTGGATAGAATCTTTTGGAGATTAGATGGTGAACTCCAAGTAACCCAAGACACCAAGGTTCACAAACATCTAAATGATGGGACCTGCACCTTTGGGGGCCTATGGAAAGCTGCCGGAGACTTCAGCTAGATGGCCAGGCCACCTAGACAAGTCCTTGGACACTCAGATGAGGAATATGGACTTTGTTCTGTAGAGGCAGAGGAAGGGCAGGGAGCCCTGGCACGGAGCAATCAATTGAAGGTAGTTAGTGTAAGTAGTTATCTGTGAAACAGGAAGTAGACAGAGGCCAACAAAAGGTGGTCAGGGAACGTGTCACAGAGAGTGCCATCAAAGGAATGTGACAGGAGCCATGGGATGACTAGATGTTGGGATCACCATGTGCAAAGGCTCGGAGCAGGGAGCAAGCCAGTGTGTTCCTGGAAGAGTCTCCGCCAGCATGGCTGTAGAGGAGGGGGAACGCGGAGGGATATAGGTCATCCTGGGAGCCTTGGAGGTTCCAGTATAGGAGTTTCCTTGGAGTAGGATAGACGGAAACCTTGAAAGGATTCAGCAGGAGACAGACATGGTGTAACTTTCATTGTAAGCCTTGCATTTGTGCAGAGGGTGGACTGAAGAGGACAGGGATGTTCTGAGAACCCACAGGTAACCGAGGGTTCCAGTAGGAGGGGATGGCATGACCCCCATCCTCACAGACACCGCAAGGGAGCTGGCTTCAATATTTTTAATGTGGCTTTCTTGGTGAACAAGTTCCCTGTGCATTGTTGTGACAAAACACATGGTAGAAGATGTTGCAACACATGAGAGAAAGACACCATACAATAAGGTTCAAGCAGAGGGCTTTTTTGGGGGGGGGGGTTGGGGAAAGGAATTATAAAAAGGGGAAAGGGAAAGGGGGAGACCAGCCTTCAGAGACAGGAGCAGGAGAGAGGAGAGAGAGAGATAGGGAACAGACAAGAGAAGGAAAGGAAGAGAAGGATGGGAGGTGGGCAGGGCCCTTTTAAAAGGGAACATAGTGAACATGCACAGGTGGTGCTCTTAGTGTCTGCATCTGAGGACATATCCTGTCAGAACCCCAAGGACAGGCCAGTACAGATGCCTTAATACTAACAAAAGCCACTTAAAAGAGGATGTGTTGGGTGGGGCTCAGAGTTTCAGAGTGTTTATGGCCATCATGGCAAGAATGGCATGGCAGAGTATCTCTAATCTGTGGCAGCCAGAGTGTGTGGTGGGTCATTCACGTGGACCAGACCCAAAGCAGAGAGAATGAATTGGAACAAGGTCTGGGTATGTTGTTCAAGGTCTGCTCTTGGTTACCTTCTCCACCAGCCAGGTTCCACCTCCTATGGGCTCCATAGCTTTCAAAATGGCACTAAGAGCTGGAGACCAGATATTCAAAATTTGAAGCTGGAACACACAGGACACTTCTTGTACCTGGCAGAGTGCCTAGGACCCAGTTGTCCAGGCAACAACCAAGGTATCCCTCATAGAAGAAATCCGTTTATCCTGGCAAATCTCCTGTGGCTCTAGTCTGACTGGTGCCCACTTTAGACCCACCTGACCATCACCTTGGCACTGAGCACTGGCCCTGTGTTCTTTGTGGATCCCTAGGGAAAGCCCAGACTAATTCTTCAATGAAAAGTGCAAATTTAGTACGTCACTGTAGGTGGAAACAAGACCAAGATCCTGGGCAAGGAGGGTTGTCCCCTCCTTGTCTCTGGGTCAGGTAAAGCAGGAGTGCAACACTTTAAGCAGAAAGGGGGAAGCAACTTATAGTCTGTATGAGGGAATGGTCTGGGGGCCACCTTGCGTTCATGGGCAGATGTCCAAATGGTCCATTTAAATAAGCAAGCCATGGGGAGTAACATGGAAAGGTTTGAGTGGGGTCAACTCTGGCTGGGTACCTTGTAATGACAACTCTGCTCCTACCACCTAGGCAGCCAGCATGACTGTATCCATCCCGTTCTAACAGTAGGGAGACCCATGAGGAGCATTTTAAGATTATAGTAGTATCTATTCACCCAACACACATGTGTCATATGTGCACTGTGTCTCAGGAGCCATTCCAAACAGGCACTGGGGTCACAGGGAGAACACAACAGAGAAGATTTGTTGGCTAATAGTGTTCAAACCTGATGACCTGAGTTTAGTCCTCAAGACCTGTGATGGGAGGAGAGGACCAACTCCTCAATTTGTCCTCTGACTTCTATACGTGTGCCATAGTAAGCACACACCCATATTCACACATACACATCACATGTGCACAAACACACATGTACATGCACACACACCTATGCTAATGATAAATTAAAAGTTAACAACAAAAACAATGCTTGCACCAAGAATCTTGTGGCATCCAGGAAGGGTATGAGGCTATTCATTGGCTCCTGCCCCATGGCAACCACATGAAACCCACCTTTGGATGCCAGAATAAATAGAGCCGGCTCTCTAGGCACAGAGGGACACTAAGGGCTAGGGAAGGGGAGGGCTGTAATGCAGCAGCTGGCAGATGCTGGTCCTCACATGTGGCAAGGAATTGAACACATGCCATACATCTCATTCTCCAGCTATGGGTACCTGTGCCAAGCTTAGCCAAGCGCTCCAACCATCCTGACTTCTTTCTCTCCCACAGGATGGTCCCGTCTAGCCCCACCCAGAAATGTGACGCTGTTCTCCCAGAACTTCACAGTGTACCTGACCTGGCTTCCAGGGCTTGGTAACCCCCCGGATGTGTCCTATTTTGTGACCTACCAAGGGTACAGGGGCACCTCCCTGCTGGTGGGTGGGGAGATGGAGTAGTGGGTGAGGGATGGAGGAGTTTCCCTGGGCTCTCTGCATTCCATGTGTCAGCATTCCGAAATTCACTGGTTCTCTGGGAGATGGCATGTGACAGTTTCTTGGAGAAAGGCTCTTGCTAGAGGTTAGAGATAATAGGAAAGATAATTGGTGGAGAATGGCAGATGATAGTCTTGCTGGAGATGGGGTGGGTCTTTGTGTAAAGTTGGAGTAGGGCTTGAGTGGAGCTGTGAGGGCCAAGACACCAGGGGACAGAAGTCCTTGGGGTTTGTATTAGTCACTTTTCTGTGATAAAACACCACAAGGCAACTCATGGAAGAAAGAGTATTTCAGTTTAGGGTTCCAGAGGAAAAGTCCCTGATGGTAGATGAGGCCGGGCAGCAAGAGTACATACTCTTTTGCTGCCTGGGGACTGGCAGCTCAGGGCTCAAAGGGAATCCACAGAGTCAGGATACTCTGACCTTTTATCTGATGGGGTAAGGGAAAAGACACACACTCTCTTGATGGTTTTCTTCTTTATTCTTCTGTATTCTATGTCTTTATTTTTCCTCTACAGCTTATACACCCCAACAAAATCTTTCAGGCAATATAGAAATCACAATTTGGTTACATTCTATTTTTCAAGTGAATGATTGCATTGAATACAAGTAAGAAACATGTTACAGGTGAAAAACAAATTATCCCCAAAAACCCACGTTCATTCACAACCTAGCAACTTGTTTCAGATTAACAAAGTGTAAGCAAGCAAGGTATTTTTCTCAGCCAGTTCTTTTCCTGGCAGGCTGCATTTTTGTGGTTGCAAAGAAAGAACCACCATTTTATTATTTACCTTGAAAGGTGATCTTAGAAAGAATCTTAAAGGAATCATAAACCTAAACTTTTAAAACGGTCAGTTCTACTCTAAATCTTCAGGGTACATACCCCACTCATCAATGATTCTTTATCTCAGTATACTGAGGACAGAAATGGGTACAAGGAATTAATCTTCATCTTTGATCACCCATCAGTCCTCCAAAGGGAAGTATGTCATCCAGTAATAATTGGGATGCTTTGCTTTTTGATCCCCAACCTCAAAGCTATTATCAAAATATCTTAATCCAACCCAACCCGAGGTTATTCTAAGGCTTTGTTTCAGCTATGGTGCACACCAAAACCTGTGAATGCATATATATTTTGTTTGTTTATGCTGTTCTCCATATGATTTGGATTTCATTGTTGATTGTTTCTAATTCTATGCACTTTCATGCTCTGGATTAGTCATCATTTTAAATGTTTATTTGTTAGTGTGTTTCTACAGCCCCAAAGGTCTTACCTTACTCCAGCTTGCACTAAGTCCAAAGTTATCAATTTCAGGTGTGGGTGTGACTTAGAATGTGACTCATGCTGAGGCAAAATTACTCAGTGGACCTTGGAAGCCAGATGAAGTCATGTGCTTCTAAATTGAAATGGTAGGACAGGTGTGAGTTAAGCATGTCCATTCCCAGAGGGAAGATCAGGAGGGTGATGGAATGCCAGTCACACCTGGGGAGGCAACTTCCAGTAAGGCTTTTTTTTTTTTTTTTTTTTTGATTGTTTTAAAAAGTTTGCTGTATATGATGACATATGCCTTTATTGCCAGCATTCAGGAGGCACAGGCAGGTGGATCACTGTGAGTTTGAGGCTAGCCTGGTCCACACAGTTAGTTTCAGAACAATCAGGACTACATAGTGAGACCCTATCTCAAAAATAAAAACAGAAGTTTGTGTGTGTGTGTGTGTGTGTGTGTGTGTGTGTGTGTGTGTGTGCGCGCGCAGGTACTCACAGAGGCCTGAGAAGGGCATTGGATACCCTGGAGATAAAATTACAAGCAACTGTGAGCTGTCTGATGTGGGAGACGGTAACCGAACTCTCGTTCTCTGCAAGAGCAGCAAGTGCTCATAGCTGTTGAGCCGTCTCTCCGGCTGGCCCTGCTTTTTTGATTCTTGAGGCAAGGTTTCACTATGTACCTCAGGGTGGCCTCAAACTTGTTTTACTTCTCAAATGCTAAAATTACAGACATCTGCCACCCTGCCCAGATTTGTTGATATTTTTTAGACAGGCTCTCCCTGTGTAGAATAAACTGGTTAGAATTCACAATGTAGCCCAGACTAACCTAGGACTCATGATCCTCCAGTCTTGGCCTTCCAGGTGCTGGGATTACAGTTGCACTCCACCATGCCTGGCTCCATTTAAGGCCCCAGAAACTATCCTTTTTAGCTCAATGTTCTTGCCTTGGTCCCACTGAGCTGGCAGCTACGAATTTTGAATCCAACAGCTGGAAGACTCCCCTTTTCTCTGTAAGACAGCCCTATCCCTGAGAGAACTGTGTCCCAGCAGTTGGGAAGACGGCCTTGCTTCACCCCCTGTTGATCTCTCAGTCATCTTCATGATCCATCTTCCCTTTCCCAAACAATAATGCAAGTTAACCTACAAAGAACTCTTGTGTCCCCTCTGGTCAGCATACTTCATTCTCTCCAGTCTCTGTCAAAGCTGGCAGTGGCTCTACTGGAGTAATTTGCCCTCCATTTCTGGTTTCTGATGAGGGAGCTGATTGCATCCATTAATTACACCCATAAATTCCTTTTTAAAAAGATTTCTTTATTTCCATGTTTGTGGGTGTTTTGGTTGCATATATGTAAGTGGTCCAGTGCAGTGCCCTCAGAGGCCAGGGAATGGTGTTGGATCCTCTGGAACTGGAGCTACAGATGGTTGTGAGCTGTCATGTGGGTGCTGGGAACTGCACTCAGGTCCACTCTCTGCAAGAGTAGCAAAGGGTCTTAACCACTGAGACAACATCCAGGAATTCTTTGTCAAAAGATCTTCCAACCACAATGTTGATGTTCTCTCCAGAACACTTGTTTTGAAATAGTGTTTCATGTAGCCCAGCCTAGCCTTGAACTCACTAAGTAGTGGAGGATAGCCTTGAACTCCCAGTCCTCTTTCCTCTACTTCCCATGTGCTGGGATTACACAGGCATTCACTGCCACATCCAACTCTTTACTTGTTTATTTTGCTGTATGGATAGGCTGAGACTTGAGACTTTTCCAAATCCTCGAGCTCTGGTTTGTTTTTACTTCAACAGCCTCTCACATTTTATAGTAAGCACACCCTCAACACCTTGCTTAGCTGAAATTTCTTCAGCTAAATATTCAAGTTCAGGTCTCTTAATGTTTCTTTTTGACAAAACACTAGAACACAATTCGGCCAAATGCTTAGCTACATATAGTTACAATACTACATATAGTTACAATAATTGTAGTTATTGTAACAAGGACTGCCTCTCCTTTAGGGACAGTAACATAGCAGATGTCCTTTTTGTCTGGAACCTCACTAGAATCACCCTCCGCAGCAGTTTAAGAAATGTCCCCATAGGCTCGTTATTGAACACCCGGTACCCAGTTGGTGGGGATGTTCTTTATAGCACCCTTACTCAGCTTCTCCACTCTCCCATGACTCATTCATCAAATCCAGAGACATCCTGACTTCCTATCCCTCACACTCCACACCCAGTCTCTGGGCACATTTGACTGGCTTTACCGTCAAAATATATCCTGGATATACCTGTTCTCGTCTTCTCCGCCAGCTACTTTCTCTGACACTGCTGCAGCCTCCTACTCTGCTTTCAGAAATGGCATTTTATTTTTATTTTTTGGTTTTTTGAGACAGGGTTTCTCTGTGTAGCCGTGGCTGTCTAGGAACTCACTCTGTCAACCAGGCTTGCCTTGAATTCACAGAGATCACCTGCCTCTGCCTCGCAATTGCTGGGATTAAAGGAATGCGCCACCATGGCCCAGTTGAAATTGTATTTTAATGTATTAAAATTATTATATGCATGCACATACATGTGCATATCACTGTGCATGTGTGGAGGTCAGAAGACAAGTTTGTAGAGTTGGTTTCCTATTTTCTTCCAGTGTAGTGTGTGTGTGTGTGTGTGTGTGTGTGTGTGTGTGTGTTGTTGTTGTTGTTGTTTGGTTGGTTATTTATTTATTTATTTATTTATTTTTGAAACAGGGTCTCACTATTTAATCCTGGCTGTCTTGAAACTTTCTGTGTAAACCAGATTAGCCTTGAACCCAGAGACTGTCCTCTGTACATGCTGGTATCAAAGGCATGCACCACCATACCCACTTTCTATTTCCATCTTTACATGGGTCCTGGGGATCAAACTCAGGTGGCCAGTGTTACATGGCATGCACCTTTACCTGTGGGACTGTTTTGCCAGCTCCAAGGGTGACCTTTCAAAAATACAAGTTAGATCACTTCAGTGTGCCTCAACCTATTCACGGTGCTCTAACAAAGTACTTTATGTAAGTTAGAGACAGTAACTATCTATTTCTCATATTTCTGGAGGGCAATGAGCCCAAGGTGAAGTCACTAGCATAGCTGGTTCCTGGAGAGGAACACTCCAGAGATCATGCCTTCTCACTTTGTCCTTACATGGCAGAGATAGCAAGCCTGTGTTGTCACGTGGGAAAGAGGCAGAGTGTCTGGGCAGCTCTCGGGAGCCATGCTTAGAAGGTCATCCTTACTAGCTGTATTGTTCTCATGATTTAATACCCAGAAGGCATCACTTTGAGATTTAAACTCCAACATTCATTTGCAGGATCACAGGCCTTCAAACCCCATTTAAACATCCAGTGGCTTCCCATCACGCTTGTGATAAATTCACACTCCTAGCCCAAACCTGCCAAGGCCCCTGAACTGCCACCTCCCTGTCCCCCTCATCCCCTGTCCACTTGGGCCTCACCATCCCTTACCCACTGGACTTTAGCTCTTTGGCCTTGCATGTCTTTGGCCTTGCAGTTGATCACTGAAGGAAGTCAGGGCAGGAACTCAAAGCGGGACACAACCCTGGAAACAGGAACTGTCCGCTTTCTCAAATAGCCCAGGACCACTTGCTCAGGAGTGGCACCACCCGCAGTGGACTTTGCCCTTCCTACCATTGGTCATTTGTCAGGAAAATGCCCCACAGACTTGCCTCCAGGCCAATCTGATGGAAGCATTTTTTCCCCTCAATTCAAGCACCCTCTTCATGCCTTGTAATGACAAAAACTCCCCAGCACACCATCTCAGTCCATCTCTTGCTGTCTCGTATCGTCGCCTGGTTTCCTCTTCCTCCTCACTGGGGGTCACCGTCTCCCTGGCCTCTTCTGAGACACCCTCTCAGAGCAGCCTCACTCTTTTTATCATTGTATCACTGCACCTACTACCTCCTGGATTTACATTATGGGTGTGATGAGTGTCCCTTGTTCCCTCCCATCAGCAGTGAGAACCCTGGGGAAGCAGGACCTCATCTGCCATGCTTTGCCTATTCATTGGTACTTGGAATAACACCTAGGCTTAAGTCACTTTTTTACCTCCGTGTCCTGAGGATGTTGCAATCATATGAAGCCCTCTGTGTTTCCCTCTGCCATTCACTCAGCACCCAACAGCCAGTGGCCTACAGATGCCTGAGCAAATCAACGCAGAGAAAGTGTCATTAATATTAGTGATGGTGACTCCAACATGGCCTTGTGAGGAGGCACTGCAGATGGGAACCTGGGACTGAGAGGCAGTGAGTGCCCTGTGGAAGGACCCAGAGATGGAGACGACAGAGACAGGATTCCTTCCCATCCACACTTGCCTGTTCATGGCTGCCCGGCACATCTGACTGAAGGGTGGGATATATATTGGGTAGGTCAGGTGCTCTAATCCAAGGGAGTCCACAGCCCACCCTCTTCTGTCTCCCCTGCAGCTATCCCAGCTCCCAACATTGGAAAAAAGTGGGGCAGTGTGCAGGCACCAAGGCTCTGGTATGTCCCCTCATGTGCCTGAAGAGACAGGATCTGTACAACAAGTTCAAAGGACGGGTGCAGGCAGCTTCTGCGTCTGCACGAGGCAGGTCCCCACCGGTGGAGTCCAAGTACTTGCATTACCTTTTAGATGGTAAGTCCCAAGGCTGAAGAAGTATTTGCTATTCTTGTAGAGGACCAGGCTCTCAGTAACCATGTTAGGCAGCTTACAAGAGACTATAACTCCAGTTCTAGGCAAGCAGATGACATCTTCTGGCCTCCTTTGCCACATGCACACACTTGTGTACATACATACATACATACATACATACATACATACATACATACATACAATATTATCGCGGTAAGCAAAAATGGGTTCATAATTAAAGGCAGAGCTAGCCTATAAGAAACAAGTAACCGGGCCAACAGTATTGTACCAAATACAGAGTCTCTGTGTATTATTTGGGGCTGGCGGCATGGCGCGGGACAAGACCAGCGGCGGCGGGCGGAAAAACCGTACGCCTTACACAATATTGAAGGTTGGTCCTTTTGATGAAGATTCTGAGTGAGCAGCTATCCCTCCTTAAGAACACTGTCCAACAATCTTGTGTGTCTGTTAATATGTGTGAATATGTGTTCATGTGTGTGCACATACATGTATGTATGAGTGCCCATAGGGGTCAAAGGACAACCTCTAGTGTCACAGTTCCTCAGGCACAAACCTACCTTTGTTTTCCAGATAGTGACTGACCTGAAACTTGCCAAGCAGGCTAGACTGACTTCTCTGGTCCAGAGGTCCAGGGAGCTCAACCACCCCCCTGCCTGGGTCTTACCACCGCCTGCCTGGGTCTCACCGATTCTCACCCTGGGCCTCACCATAGACGCCCAGGGCAGAATGAACTTCTGAGCTCATTCCGGTTGCCAGACTGAGGTCCCTGACTCCTCACTGCTTACTTGCTAGGCGCCTCTCCAAGCTGCTAAGATGCCTGCATTTCTCCTCATGCTCCACCACCCCTCTTGCTAACCAGAACTGTGTCCTAGTCATATCTGACATCTCAGTACCTTCCCCTCTTCTCTGACTTTTCTGTTGCCAACAGCAGAAAGTCCTCTGCTCTTGAAGGCTCTGCACCTATCTGCATGGCCCAAGGATAAACATGCCATTTTAAGGCTCTGAACCTTAACTGAAATTCTTTTTGCCACTCAACAATGACACACCAAACTGGCCACATTCTGGAATCAAGGTGGAACATCTTTTTTTTTTTTGGGGGGGGGGTCCTGTCTGCCATGAGCTTTCCTCTTGGCCCCAAATTCATATCTTTTGCAAATGCATAATTTATTCACCCTGTGTCAAGGTCCCCCTAGGTTGCCTCTTATTACATCAACTCAAATTCCAAGATCTCCTAGGTTGTGTCTGAGATAAAGGGCTGTGCATGAGATAATGGTTTGGGTGCAATCCACTCAGTATGATTTCTGGGCATGGTTCCTCTCCACCTCTGAGCTGGCAAGACTGAAATATACTATCTCTGTTCCCTATATAAGATATGGGAGGCGAAGGTAACACTAATAAAAACTGGGAGACAAGGGAAATGAAGACATTAGTCCAAAGCAGCTTTAAAATCCAGCTGGGCATTCGGGTTGACAGTCTGGGACAATTCTCTTTGACTCCCAGAGAAGACCTTTAAGCTCTGGCTTCCACTTCCAAAGCAGGCTTCCTCCTTCACCACAGGCTCTAAGTACCCACAGCCAAGGTTTTGCCAGCCTCCATCTTGTCAGCAGAAATGAAGTCAATAGCTTTCTTTGATTTCATACATAAAAGACGAGGTGGCAATGTTTCTGTAAATACAAAAATCTCAAGAGCTATGGATCTCCTGTGGCTGCTTGAAGAGTCACCCCTGTGGGACATCTAATGTTATGTTCAGGCACATTGCGCTGCATTGCTTTCCCTGGACATCTCTGACTAACCCACCTTCCCACCCCCACCTTTCATCTCTCTGGGACAGCAAGAGACAGAGCCACGTAAGTTTTGTGGGTTACTGTTTGGTGTCCACAGTCCTCTTCAAACCGCCCTTCCTCACAGACTTGGCTGAAGTCAGAAGGATCCTGACTCTCAGCCAGAACCTACCCACTATTAGTCGTGTATTCTGGCAAGCTTTAGATTCTAGGGTCTTGTTTTATTTTTAAAAATTGAGTTGGTAAAGACTGGGGAGAGAGCTCAATGGTCAAATGCTTCCGTGAGAGACCCTGACTCAGAGGATAAGGTGAGGTTTACAGAGGAAGATACACATGGACCTCTGGCCTCTGTATATACACTCACAGGTATGCTCACACACACAAACACATGCACACAACACATAAACAGTGAGGATATGATGCTTCCCTCTTGGGGCCAGTGAGAGGCAAGTAAAAGGGCTGTGAGGAACTTGCAACATAGTAGATAATTTAAAAAATATATTGTGACTGCGCCCTGTGCAGGACAAACAGGAGATGGGCTCCCGGAGGTTTCTGACAGCTCCTATTCTGTTTGTGACAGTGGAGCCCGCCCCACCCACCCTTGTGCTCACCCAGATGGAGAAGATCCTATGGGTCAATGCCACGTACCAGCTGCCACCTTGCATGCCTCATTCGGACCTGAAGTATGAGGTGCAATTCTGGAAGGAGGGCATAGAGCACAAGGTAGGAAAGCCTGTGCTGTCCTGAGGGAGCAGGGCCCCCTCCACCTTCTTACACAGCTTCCTGCATTTTCCTCCAAGAATTCTCCCAAGGCCCCCTGACTCCAGTCAGCCCTTGATGATGTGCAACACCGATGGCCTGTTCAACAGGAGCTCTCTTTGCCCTCCACGGAACAGGCCTCAACCACACTGTAGTTTTCAATCTCATCTTGGAAATTGTAGGCCTTGCCTCTGAGGGGTTGGGGCACAAGCCCAGGGATGTGTGCACTTGAGTGTGCCAGTCCATATCCATGTGTGTGTATTGTTCTTATGAAAACCACAAGGTATTCTCATCACTTTCCACTATTTTTTCCTCCCAGACAGGATCTCACCATGTAGCCCTGGCTGGCCTGGAACTTGTTATGTAGACCAGGCTGGCCTCGGACTCACAAAGATCTGAATGCCTTGTTTTGTTGTTGTTTGTTTGTTTTTGAGATTGTGAACCAGGCACTACAGATTAAGTAAGCTAGGCTAACTGGCCAGCAAGACCAGTGATGATTCTGTCTCTGCCTCACTAGCTCTGGGGTTACAGGCATGACCAGAGTTTTATGTGGGTGCCAGGGATCAAATTCGGACCCTCATGCTTGCACGGGAGAACATTTTATAGACTGAGTCTCTCCCCAGGCTCTGCCTCCTTTAAAAGTTCAACTGAAGAGTTTTGGGCTGCAGGAAATTGATTCTCCAAGTCACCCAGATTCATTACAGAAAACCCAGAAACATCTAAAAAAAAAAAAAAAAGCACCCAGGGATGACCATGACCATTAATGGCTCTTTGTACATCCAGTTTCCAGCATATTCTGGGAACAGGCCTGAATATTCATTTATGATAGATTAGAAAACCTTTTCCTATACAAGTCCAGAGAGTCAATATGTTTGCCAATATGTGGCCTCAGAGTCTGAGCTCCGCAGCTCTAACTCAAAAGCAATTGCTTATAGGCAATATGGAAGGAAGTGAATATTGCCGGGTTCCCTCTTATGAAAGTAGGCAGTGGGTAGAGTTGGCATGGCTGTGGCTCAGTGACCCCAACTCTAGCTCACTCTTCTAGCATTTACACCTGTGACCCTAGGGATATGAACATAATAAGGTGGTTCCTGCCTTCCGGAATCCCAAGAATAGTAAAACATTACCCCATCTCCCATCAGCACATACAATTTGTCCAAATCTGGGTCTTATTGTGTAGTCTGAATGTATATTGATATTACAGGTACATGCCACTATGCTTGGAGTAAATGTGTATATTTTTTGTAAGTCAATGAAAAACTAAACATCCTAATTAGCATTGCCCAATAGGAGCATACTACAAGCCATGTATGTCATTTAAAAGTTTTATTGCCTATAGTTATTTTGTGTGTGTGACTCTGTGAGGGCAGGGCAGTCGTGTATGCCACAGCTTGTGTCTGGAGGTCAGAGGACAACTTTATGAAGTTGGTTCTCTCGTTGGATTGAGCTCAGGTCATTAGGTTTAACAGCAAGTGGCTTTACTACATCATCCTACTAGTCCCAAGTCATTTAAAATGTTCCTCGTTAAGTTAAAGGAGCAGGTTTGAGGGAGGGGAGTTGGTTGAGATAGGATTTCTGATATTCCAGCCTAGCCTTGAACTTGCTATGTAGCCAAGAATGACATTCAACCCCTGACCTTTCTTCTCCTGCCTTCACCTCCTAGGTGTTGGTATTACAGGCATTCACAACCTGGCTTGACTTTAGCTTTTTGTTTTGAGGCAATCTCTACATAGCCCTGGCTATCCTGGAACTCACTATGTAAATCAGACTGACCCCAAACTCACAGAGATGCAACTGCCTTTTATCCCATAGCATGGAATTAATATGATTGCTGCTTGGCCTTCTTTTTCTTCTGTCTTTGGAAACTGTAGTCAGGGCATACCTCCATCTCACTAGCCACCTTCCCCTACTTTGAGCTACCCTGGGCAGCGGGGGCAGCTTCTGAACCTACAGTGATTGAATGGCCCTTATCCCCAGTGGAGATGTGGCTCCTTCCAGGGCTTGATGAGCTACATGGGAGTGACCCCAAGTAGCAGGCTGCTTTTGAACCCCAGTGGTCTGTACAAGAATATATAGCTGAGAAGAAAGCAGGAAGTAGAAAATGCCCTTAGTGCTTGCATTTAAAAAATATTTAGTTATGTGTATGGGTGTCCTGTCCAAATGCTCATTTGCACACCAGGGGAGGGTACAGTTATAGACAGTAAATACAGTTATAGACAGTAGGAAGGCGCCATGTAGGTGCTGGGATTTGAACTCAGGACCCTGGAAGAACAGCCAATGCTCTTAACCACTGAGCCATCTCTCCAGCCCCAATGCTTGCCCTTTAATGTAAGAAGAGAAATGAAAGTTCCTGGGTCCCACTCTATCCTACCTGGCCACCCCTCCACATGTACCCATCAGCTGGCTGCAAGCTCATTGTTTCTTGCTTCTCCAAACAGACCCAGTTCCCTGCCACTGAACACAACAAACCCATGGAGATCCCTCTCCAGCAAGGTGCTAATGGACGCCACTGCCTCAGTGCCAGAACCATCTACACCTTCACCGTCGCCAAGTACAGCCACTTCTCTGAGCCCAGTTGCATCTTTATAGGGGCCCCAGGTGAGTGGGAAATGGCATTGGGGAGGGGGACTTCCCTCTTTCAGAAGTCTCGTGATAGAACTGTTAAAAGTATAAACTGAGAGATGTGTTCACTTAGGGAAATTCCAGCTCTACCACACTGCCTGTGTGTCTTTGAGTAGTTTCCACAACCTCTCTGAGCCTCAGCTTCTACCAGAATGGGCTTACTCTCCTGAGGAATGAGCAGGATGGTCACTGGAAACACTTGGCACACTGAGGTACTGGGGCCATTGTTCTGTCTGGAGTTTCGACGTTCTCTTCTCCCTAGGAGCCAACTGGGCTGTCTTGACACTGCCCTTACTCTTGCCTCTACTGGTAGCAGCTGCTACAGTGGGTGTGATCTGGAAGACACTGGAAGGGAACCCCTGGTTTCAGCGGGTGAAGATGCCTCAAGCACTGGTATGGCACGTCTAGGGTGTATAGAAAGCATGGAGGGTATGTAGAAGTGGGGTGTTGGGAAGCAGAAAGTGGGGCTGAGTTTGCAATGCTTCAGACAGCATATGGGACTGGCCCAGACTGTAACGTTGGCTGTCTTGGCTCTGTCTCCAAATTCCCGCCTCTGGCAGTGCCATCCAACAGCAAATCTGCCCACCAGAGGGAGACATGCCTAAGTCCCTTTCCATGGAATCACTTTGTCTCTGCTAAGGATTTGTCCGGGTGCAAAAGAGACCCCAGAGAGGTCCAGAAGTGTGTGTAGTTGGAGCTGGTACAGATGGGGCCTTAAGGCTATAAATACTTAGTTTTCAACTTGACCAAGGTCGAGCATCGCCAGGCCAATATTGGGATGCTAGATCCTCTATCAGGATCTAGCTGGGGGGGGGGGGAGACCTAGACAGGTCAGAGGAGAGCTGGACTGGACCGGGTGGGGCTCTAAATACTCCCTAGTGATGGGCTTCAAGGACAGAATTTCCCCATGTCCCTGTGTCCCTGTGTCATAGCAGAACATAGGTTCAAAGAATTGTAGAGGTTCACCTGGCCAACAGCCTGGCCAGTGACCTCTGCTGGTCAGTGATGGCCCAGCCATGAGGCTGCCTATTCCTGGGCACCAGCAGGAGCTCCCAAACCAGCAGCATTTCTCATGCTGATGGTTTTTCCCACACCATCTGTATTTCCCATAATAGCCCAGGGGCCTCCCCCATCATTGGGGTAATGCTGAAGCACAATGGACCCTCAGAATAAGTAAGGCTTTTGCTAGAGGGAGAAATGCTTCCTTCCCCACCATGCTTAGCCCCCTTGTTTTCTGAAAACCCCTCCCAAAGAAACAACTTCCACTTGAATTCATCTGTACTTCTGCCAGGGGGCCCCAGATTCAACCAGTCTATCTCAAGAAGCTGAATCACCTTCTCTCCCCTTCCTTTCTACATCAGGACTTTTCTGAATACAGATATCCCATGGTAACCTTTCAGCCCAGTGCACCTGAGTTCCCAGATGACCTGATCCTCGGTCCCCAGAAAGAACTGACCATAAGGATCAGCCCAGGCCCTCGAGTCAGAGACCCAGGCACGCTACAGGCAGGACCAGAAAAGGACAGCACTGAGGATGAAGATGAGGACACAGATGACAGTGACAGTGTCCAGTCCTACCTGGAACCGCCCCTCTTCATGAGGGAGAAGCTCCAGGTTATGGGGCACTCAGAGACAGCTGAGTCTGGGGTAGGTTCAGGGGGAAGTGAAGATTCATCTGCCTGGGACTCTTCGGACAGGAGCTGGTCCAGCACAGTGGACTCCTCCCTTAAAGATGAAGCTGGATCTTCCAGCTGTTTGGATAAGAAGGAACCAGACCAAGAGCCTGATGGAGATGGGCACCAGGAGGCGCTCCCATGCCTGGAATTTTCTGAGGACTCAGGCACCATGGAAGAACTTCTGAAAGATGACCTCTCCAGATGGAGAATTTGGGGTTCCTTATCCCCAAAGAGAGATCTGGTTCCTGGGGAGTCCCCAGTTTCTCTCCAGACACTGACTTTCTCCTGGGACAGACACTTTGAGGAAGAGGAGGGGGAGGAAGAGGAGGAGGAAGAGGAGGAAGAGGTGGATGACTGGGAATCAGAACCCAAGGGCAGCATTGCGAGCTGCTGGGACACCTCAAGCCTGCAGAGGACAGAGGTCAAGGACAGGATGCTGGGAGATTACATGGCCAGGTGAGATGGCCCTGGTGGCCAATCTAGTCTGGTATTGCTACCTCTACTGCACTTCCCTGGGGACCAGAGACACCTCCAGGTCTCACCATCCATGTCCCTTCCTGAGGTAATCAAAGTCCTGGCCACTAATTGTGGCTCACTCATGCGCTCTTTGTCATTTGGATTGAGCTGTAAGATGTTACTATTTCCTATGACCCATCTGCTGAAGATGACCTGTGAGAGGAGTAGAGCTGTGGTCAGAGACTAGTTTAAGTTCCTGTTGCCTATTGTCCCAGGGATGACAGACCTTATGGAAAACGAGACAGGTGAAGCCAGGTGGTTGTGGGCCCCAAGGATTAACACTCTGGTCCATCAGTCACGTACAGCATTGCACGAAGCAGACTTCGGATCAAATCCCTGCCATGCCATTTACTAGTAGTAACCTGAGCAAGCCACTCTCGGTCTCTATGGCTCAGTTTCCTCTTCTGAAGCTGTCACGTGGGTATGGTGAAGATTCATAGTTTCTAGGTATGTGTGGCATGTGGTCACCCATGTTATTTGTACTATCTGTGCACTAGAGCCCCTCCATCTGTTCAGACTCTTGGAAGGTCCCAGGCATCTCTCACCAGAGACCCTCTAAGCCAAGAGTGACAAGAACACCTACCCTCTAGGTCACCCCATTCCTTCCTCGTGACCTTCTAGTCAGGGGCTCCCTAAAAACAGAGCCCAACCAACTTTGCTTCCTTCTTGAACACAGTCCTCCTTCTAGGAGCCAGATTTGTTGGTGAAGGACAGAAACTGCACTCCTGGCCTGGTGTCGAATTGTGACAGTTTTTGACTGTTATGGTCATAATGAGGTCTTAGTGTCTAAGAAACCACTGTTCTTTTGGGGGAATGATGTGTGTCATTGGTTTGCAGATGAGCATGGCTGTCACTCATAGAACCAAAGTTATTTGTGGCTGAGGATATAAACAGTCCTGGGCCTGGGGTGGGGTCCGGGGCCCCGCCCTTTCTCTAGCACTTTACTCCATGATGCAAACAAGACCCCCACAACCGCTTTACCCACAATGCTATGTGGTTTTGAGTCTGCCATAAAGGTACACCTTTACAGAACACATGTGAAGTCACCCCCTAATTCAAGGGTTCTCCAACTCACTCCCAAAGGCCTTTGGGAGCCCAGGATCTTCCCCCTCATTGAGTTGATCTACACACAGTGACCATGCATAGAAGGTGTGTTGAGGGGGTTCACAACTAACAAAAAGTTCTCAAAGCACTGTCTTCATCTCTGTCATGTTTCAAACAAATGGCCCGAAGTGTAACATGGAAAGACTCTTGTTGAAGTTACCTGGCAAGGCTGTCCTAATGACAGCCTTGAGTGTGATCCCAAGAGTTTCCAGACTCATCAAACTGACAAGAGGTCTTTGCCACCACCTCTAGGACACACACACACACACCTACCTCCCTGGAGTTTCCCTGCAATGAAGCTTGACCATGTCACTGAGGTTGGAAGAACAAATGAGTATGCTTGAGGAGGGACATAGCGTAGGAGTAGCTCCTGGAAATGTTCTTTCTGAGACCCAGCTGAGCTGCTCCATGATGGCACTGTCAGAAATCCTTTGAAATGATCATCATTACAGTGTTGTCCTGACCCTCAGTGACATATGCTCACTGTCCTCATCCTCTGTGACATATATGCTCACGTTCTCATTTGAGAAGTATGTCCACAATTCCTGAAGCTTGCTCTCTGGTCTAGCCTGGGCCTCTTAGTCATTGTAAAGTCTAGCTCCTTCCAGCCCTTAGACCACTGACAAAATGCCTGTGGGAAGCCCACAGAAAGGGCGTAAAGATCAATGCAAGTGCTTATAATGTGAACTCAGCACTTAACTTACATAATAGCCCTGTATGGACACAGCATCTGGGGATTGCAAGGACAGACATCGAGGTCAAAGTGACTGCCTTGGGTCACAGTGGTGTGTGGCTTCAGCACTCAGAAGCTATATACCTTATACATTTGTATTTTTGTTGAATTTTGCACTGTGTTTTATATCCTATTTAAATAATACTTTAATGTATGTTGATATAATACCCAGAACTTTAAATAAATATATCTATTTTTAGAGTAAAAGCTATAACTGGTGGAAACTGATGTATACTTCTCTGTTTAGAATATACATGGAGAGACCCCAAAAGGAGACCAGGGTCTGGAGGATACAGACTCTATATGACACCATAAGGAAGTGGGGGATTGGGGTGGGGAGAAGGCCAGCCAGTCAAGGTACAAAATTAAACAGGTCTCTGATGCTGGACATGAGGCCTACACGCCCCTGATGTCAGTGCCTGGTCCACCAGGCTTGACCCTCTATCAGGGACAGGAACTGGAGGCTCAGCCACTCATGCCACATGGAGACTGCATTTGGTTTGATTTTGAACCTAGTGTCTTACAGGAGCTAGGCAGCTGTAAGCTAGGCAGCTAGCCATACCACACTGAGCTGTATCCCTAGCTGTGGGGTATGGGGTGGGGGTACCATGTGGGTCTCAGGGATGAACTCAAGTCTGTGAACTTGCATAGCGAGTGCCTCTGGGCCATTCTTATTTTTGAGACAGGGTCTCTCTAAGTTGGCTGGCCTTGAGCTCACCCTACTTCCCGGGTTGGTCTTGAACTTGTATCTTCCTGCCTCAGCTTCCCAAGTGGTTGGAGTGACAAAGCTGTACCATGAGGCCCAGCCTTTCACACACACACTGTTGGGATCCACATACAGGTGTGAGAAGGGTGAATGCCATGGGACTGGGTCTTTGGTGCCACCTACTTCAATGGGGCTGGAGTTTGCTCACTGCCCTGGGAGCTCACCCAGTGGTGATAGCGATTCACAGAGGGACATAGAACAGCTTTGGTGTGGCCAGCCGTGCAACCTTAACCTCACTGACTAGAGAGGGTGCCCAACCTCCAGGGACACTCCTGGGGACACACAGTGATTACGTGGCATTGTACCTGCAGGTATCACCATAGACTACTGCCCATCAGACCCCAGACATAGTCCTAGCTGATCTTTCCAGTTCAGTCTTCCTGACCAGCCAGCCTAGGAGCAGATGGGACTTGATCCTCCCTGTGTCCCAGTTTTAGGCCAGTTAAAAGCTATCACTTTTAACCAATGGCTTTCCAATTCACAGGCACAGGCAGTGAGCAGCACAGCTTGTGGACAGGCTTGGGTGTCTGTGGTCCGCTTAACTGATGTGCCATGAGATCTTCCCAGAAAGCAGGGCAGATCTTCCTGTTCCAATGACTGTTAGCCCTTCCGGCCCTAATTCTGCCAGATTCCATGCTGAGCACCTGGGTCTGTGTGCTGCCACCTTCTGGACAGCGGTGGGATGGCGGAACTGCCAGAGGACTCTTGAACCCTGCTCAAAGGGATGAAACTGACCTCAAGGCCCAGGGTGGACACTTGACACTGAATAAGTAAATGAAAGCAATAATAAGACCCCTAGGGTAAGGTGGCTGACTAGAGAGGAAAGAGAACCAGAATAAGAGAAAAGAGACTTCATCCCAAACAGAGAAATAGAGGAAGAGCTTCCAAAAGTCACAGGAAGCAACACCAGGGAAAGAGCTGGCAAAAAAGCAAGTGACAGAGAGATGAGATGAACACAGCCTCAGCCACGCCATTCCCAGCAGAGAGGGGGATGAAGCCCCTTCTAAAAACAAGCTGCCCGAGAGCTGGGCAGCCCTACCTTATAGGACATGCCCACAGCCCTCACAAAGCCTCAAATCCAGCTGCCGGCTGAGCAGTGTCCCTTGAGACAGTGATTCCTGTGACCTTCCAATCTTCAGTAGAAAGAAAACCCAACTGGCCACACTGTCCTCAGAGAGAATCTATTATTTAGATAAATAAATAAAAGCAGACCTACTCCGGGTGAGGTCAGGGTCTATACGTGATAGAGAATAGAACACCCCACCCCAAGAGAGTGACCAAGCTATATCCTACCTCGTAACATCCCTAAGCTGCTCAACTCCTAACCTGTAGCAGCCCCAAGGTGGAGTAGATCACAGGATTAACTCCTGAGTTTATAGCTTATATCCTATCTGGTACCTTCACCAAGCCACTAAATTCAGAGATCCCTCCCCTCTCAAGTCTATGAATTATGGGATGCCCTGCCCTCTGTGGGCTGCTGCTGAATCTCCTATCCCAGGTTACCCCAGAGATATTACTCAAAAGTATTCCACTTAAAATCCATCTTAGCTCTTCTCTCTGCTGACTCTGGAAAAACAAAAAATCTTTATTTAAGATAACCCACCGAGCCAGGAGCATCAACCTGGCCTGCCACGGCTGCTCAGGAAGAGATATCTGGGGAGGTAGCAAGACCAGATGCTGACCAGACTCGGAGGCAGGAGGCTGGACTCAGGCTAGGAAACACATAAGGAGAGAGCATCACCCTGCAGCTGGGAACAAGTCTTATCAACTAAGAGTTGATAGCTCTGATATTGAGACCAGTGGATGCATCGAATTCTGGGCCCTGGGCTTATTAGTTTGCCTCTCCTTCCTCTAGCCCAAGAACTCTGAAGTTCCAGGAGTGTACATGATATCCATGGCAGCGTTCCTCTACCGTGGTAGTTTTAAAGGGAGCCTTGAAAATACAATGACAGTAAAATAAGAAAAAATAATAATAATGAATAAATAAATAAATAAGAACATACAAAGACAGGTACTTTGCTAAACCTCAGTTTCTCACACACTTCGGAGACACCCCACCTAAAACAGGAACCCATGGATACAGAGGAGGAAGTATACTGATATGAGGACAGCGCCAGTAGACATCAATCCAGGTCAGACTTGGCAGCAGTATAAACCATGAGAAAAATAAGAGTTCACTTAACTGGTCAAGTGCTGAGAATCTGTGCCTCTTGAGCACTCAGCCCTAAATGAGGCACGTGTGTCAAAACCTGTGCCCAAGCTCAGGGAACATCTCCAAAGAGAGGTGAAGAGAATATAAGAGCGGGAAGGCGGAGAGGAGTTCTGCATAACGCTGCCTTTAGGACCCGAAATGCCATTGCACTCACAAAGTCGCCTGCACAAGATGGCGGCATCTAGAGCGGCCACCATTCCAGCAGGCAGCCAGTTATAACTGAGTTATTAACAGAAAAAGGAGATGGCAGGCTGGAGAGATGCTCAGGAGATAAGAGCACTGGCTGCCCTTCCGGAAGACCCGGGTTCAATTCCCAGCACCCACATGGCCCCTCACAGCTGTCTGTAACTCAGACCAATGCGCATAAAATAAAATTAAATACAGTACTTTAAAAAGAAAAAATAAAGAAGATAAAGGAGATGACATGAAGGTGGCATCAGGATGGTTGGGAGGGCCTGGGGAACAAGTCGGGGGTGGGGGATGCATATGATCAAGACACATTGTTTACATGGGTGACATCGCCGAAGAATAAATAAAAATTATTCTATTTTTTAAAAAAGAAAGAAACACAGACATTTCAAATAATAATAAAAAGAGAAAGAGTACAAAAATTCAGCTGATTCTCCCTGGCATTTCTGAGCTTTGAAGACCCAGAGAGAAACGGACTGTGCTGACTAGTTTTGTGTCAACTGGACATAAGTTAGAGTCTTCTGGAAGAAGGGAACCTCCACTGAGAAAATGTGGCTATAAGGTCCAGCGGTAAGGCAATTTTAAATTACTGATTGATGTGGGAGGGCCCAGCCCATTGTGGATGATGCCATCCTGGGCTGTGGTCCTGGGTTCCATAAGAAATAGGCTGAGCAAGCCATGGGGAGTAAGCCAGTAGTAAGCAGCACTCCTCTGCATCAGCTCCTGACTCCTGGATCCCACCTGGTTTGAGTTCCTGCCTTGGTTTCCCTCGATAGTCTATGGCTCCAGATGTGAAGCCAAATAAACCCTTTCCTCCCCATGTTGCTTTTGGTCACGGTGTCCAATCACAGCAAAAATAACCCTAACTAAGACCCTGATTCAGTGCATCATCTTCTCAGTTCTTAATTTCTCCTTGTAATTCTTGTTTTGTTCCCTAGAAGTTTAGTGGGACTTTGACTTTAGCATATATAAAAATGAAGTATTTTATTGTTATTCTCTCTCAGATGTACATCTAATTCTATTTATGCACTTTTTTCCATTTGACAATGGCATTTTCCCCTTAGTTTCTCCCTCCTCCCCATGTTTTTTTTTTTTTAACCTTCTTAATCTTTTTAAAATTTAAATAATTAGGCCAGGCATTGGTGGCACACACCTTTAATCCCAGCTCTCTGGAGGCAGAGGCAGGTGGGTCTCTGTGAGTTCGAGGCCAGCCTGGTCTACAGAGCAAGTTCCAGGACAGCCTCCAAAGCCACAGAGAAACCTTGTCTCAAAAACAAAAACAAACAAAAGTATCCCAGTGCAGAAGCTCAAGACAGCACGGTTTCCTCAGGAGCTCCTCAGTCCACAGCGGCTGATCAGACCCACTGTACCAGGTAAAGCATCAGGTAAGTGATTAAAAAGTTTCCTGGTAAAAATGATGAAAGAAGACATGACATGCACAAGCAGATGAGTGCCGCCGGGCTCCCAGGAAAGTCAACACCTCCCCCACCCCTGATATTTCCTCTTCTGCTCCACCCAGTGCATTGGTGAACGCTTCCTACCTGTTTATTATCATTTACCTCAATCCTATCCCCCCCCAAGTCCCAACTTTCTTGCTGACTTTTTCTTCCACGTTGTTGACTTGCTCATTCATTTTGTTGACAAGACACATGACTCCAAACTGACTTCAAGACCAGTGAATGTATACCCAAAAGATTCTTGCAGACTGAGGGGCTGGAGAGAGGGCTCAGTGGATAAGGCACTTGACACAAAAGCATGAGGGCCAGAGTTTGGGTCCCAGCACCCACATGAAAAGCCAGGCAGACATGGATGCCCCTCTGCCCTCAGGAGGCAGAGATGGAGGATTCCCTGTGCAAGCTGGCCAGTGACACTAGCTGAGCCAATAAGCTCTGTGCTGAATCAAAGGCCCTGCTCCAAAAAACAAAGATCAAGGACAACACCTGATGGCAACTCCAGGCCTCCACACATACACACATACAAGTGCGTGAATGGTCATACACGCACACACACCCCACACACATGCCTAAGAAAGTGAGTAGA